TGATGGCACCTCTCCCACCACTTACGTGCGTGAGGATGCAAGCACGGCGTATCTGTTACAAGCAATGCGTTTCTCCAGCACATCTCTCATTCTGTGGCGCACCTGTCAGGTATGGTCACAACTCCACATATTAGGGTTGCAAGCAACCCCCTAATCAGCAGAGGATGTTGGTGTTAATAGGTTCGGATCCATCCAGAGCAGTGCTTAACAGTAGCACCTGGCGGTAACACCTCTTCTGACAGGCAGATGCACGACCGAGCGAAATGAACCCGTGTTCTTCCAGTGAGCTCGATTACTGACCATTTCATGGATCGTGACCGTGGTCCACAGGCATCGTATGGCCTGTCTCAGAAAAATAGGAACAATGATCTTACGATCCAACAGCTACACGCAGGCAAGTACTCCATGGCAACAGACAGCCCAAGTTTATACACATTTTGTGAGGGACATTCTTGTATGTGTGTGTGTGTGTGTGATTATTGTGTCTAAATCTGGCAAAATTTATTTCACACACAGAAGAAGGCAATGGCAAACCACTTCTGGATCATCTGCCAAGAACGTATATGAACAGGTCCCAGTCCGAGAAAAGGATGGAAGGATCCTGTTCATATGGACCTGTCGTCAGACAGAACACTAAATAAAATAAATGTGTGAAATTACAGATGTAACATAGGGCGAAGCTTTCACATATTGAAACACAACATTCGACAAAAATTCGACACACTTATCTGTCGCTGTGGACAGGAGACAAGTAGAAGTGCAAATGTCATCATTAATTAATCAGAGAAAATGTTTACCAACGCGAAATAATTTAATAAACTGAATAATACAAAGGTTCTGGAGATGAAAATGTAATATTAATTACCCAAAGTGCTGGAGGGGTTTGAGGAGGGCGAGCTCAATGTCATGTATTTTAGCCGAGAAAAGAATAAAACGTGACCTCCGACAGCCTCTGGAGATCGGTTAACTCTCTGAAGCCGAAGCTCGTTTAAATCATATTTAAGAATTCAGTCCGTACCACGAAGAGAACACAACACTTCACCATTACAGCGATCAACTGTTTAACGCTGTTTAAGGGCGTAATCGCTGTTTATTGTGAAAATAGTGCGGAACACAAGAGCACAGTCTGCAAGTGACTGAAAATAAGTAACTGATACAAGCACGAAAGGGCTGAACGACGGAATATTAGCATTGATTACAGAAACAATCGTTTCATCCACTTCGATAACGCATGTCGTGTGAAATGATTTATAGACGAAACAGAAATAAGTCACCCCCTCCCCTCGTCTCCTAGCAGAAGTGCTGCACTTACAGGAAAAAAAAACACGTGTTAATGGTCTCTCAGGGAACAGACGTGGTGGCTGACGAGAGGTGACAAGAAATATACCGGAAGTTGCAGACAACCTGGAGCGGAAAACGGTTGTAATAAATCTTGGTAAAGGAATCGCGGCTTCTCCCCCCAGCAGACAGATAAAGCCTGCACTGGGGGGAAGAGGATGAACATGTGTTGGGTGAGCGACGAGAAGCATTCTGGCAGCCACGGAAGACGAACGACGAATTGACAGAAGTGTCATCCCCGGCATCCTTACTTTGTATGTCACGCCATGAACAAAACGGGGAAATTAATCGGACCTTGTTTTGACGTCCGAGTGCTTACTCAGCGTTCATTAGTCTTGTTGTCAAACTGTTTATGATTGCTGAGTTGGCAAGCTGTGGCGAAGCCCCTTTGGACAAAGAGGTGATTGTGATGAGTAAGAGACTAGGTGGGGGACTGAATGAGACCAGTGAATTATTATAAGAAAGTCTCTCGAAGGAGAGAGACCATGTAAGATTTGAGGTTCTCACAGCGGTGAATATGAAAATTTCCGTCTTCTGAGTTGTTGCGCTGTGCGATAATCGCCCTGATGACGGAGGCAGTATGACCTCTGAAACGTTGGTTAACATCGACCAGACTACACAGCGCCACAACCCAGAAGACGGAAATCTTCATATTCACCGCCCTGATGACGGAGGCAGTATGACCTCTGAAACGTTGGTTAACATCGACCAGACTACACAGCGCCACAACCCAGAAGACGGAAATCTTCATATTCACCGCCCTGATGACGGAGGCAGTATGACCTCTGAAACGTTGGTTAACATCGACCAGACTACACAGCGCCACAACCCAGAAGACGGAAATCTTCGAGAGAGACCATATTTATATTATAAGCGCGTTTCTCTGCAAAAGAAACCTTTAAATAAATGTACTGCAGTTTAAGTGCAGTTGACCGACCCGAGTTCGCTGGGGCAAAACCGAAGGAGGTGGACGGTTATAACAAGAACACGTTTTTGAAATCTTTTCCTACCGTTGACATGCAAATGTTAAACTACTCATGAACATAATGGAGTCGGAATATGGCTGGCCAAGCCGTGACAATGATGTTAACATGTCGGTCCTGTTGGCCTCGTAAGACGGATGGTCGTCGCATTAATATTAATGGACGCCTCTCGCCGTGTTCATCAACTGCATATCCTGGACGTCACGGGTTCTGCTCCCGAGCAGTAATCACGGTCACAAGACACGAATAAAAGTCGGATTTGTGTTTGCATTTAAATAAAACTGTGTTACAGCACGCAAACGATGTTTGACTGTGACCCACTACAATAGGTAATATATCCTCTGAAAATATCTGAGGACGACACCAACATATCAAAATTACCGAGACATTAATTAAGAGAGATCATCAGTTCGTCAAGGATTCTGCTTCGTGGAGTTAGGTGGATTTTTGTCCAAACATGAAAATGTGCCCTGAGTTCATTCAGTTTTTGGGATCGAGCTCCAGGGAATCTGCTACTTCGTTCCAGGCCTTGAGCCCATGACGTAATCGGGCCGCCTCGCAATGCGAACACCAACAGGAAAGAAGCTCTGTTATCTAATCCATTTGTGTACAACTGAATAATTCATACTCCACTGTAGGTGGACGAATTATTTAACTTCATGAATATTCATATAGCACAGGCTCAGCTACCCGTGGTCTAATGAAACGGCCCAGTAAATTCTTCAGCTTTCCGTTTCCCCCGTCACTTCCGGTGTGTCTACACACAATTTCCGCTGATCTCGGTCGAAATTTCCCACGGCGAGGACAGTGATTTTAATTTGAATCCTTCGGTCATGTTTTAACGGACTTTTGCACAGCGTAACGAAACTTTCAGGCAGCTACGCGTGGCTTTGCCTCGTCAAGTCTGTGTAGAAAAACGTTCCCCCGCCTTCTCAAAATGCCAGAATGTTTTTTTAATGAAACTTTTAACATTTACGAGATGCTTATTGTATACTGAGGCCTCTTCGCCTAAAACAATAAGATGACGCGCCAGGTGTGTGACTTCAAAGCGATATGGATTATCTGCTGTCCGACGCAGAGAAGAGATATCAATCGTGTTGAACTGAAACAGCTGAATCACA